TATTCTTAACGTTTCTTGGTGATTGTCTCTTTATTTACGTATCAACTATAATGCAAATTGTAATCCAGACAGATATTGAAACAAAGTTAAATCAGCACTTGGTTGATACACGACCGTGTATCTTGATGTTATATATTGTTAGCAATTGTCTTTTCTATATATACACGTATATACCAAAATTTTAATATTATTCAATGCTATACACAAAAAAAATAGAATAATTTCCACCTGCGTTCTTGTTTTATTTTTTATTATATTATTATAGATATACGACAATCCTCTTCATTTTAATATTATTATTATACATTTTAATATTATTATGTAAATCTGTTTCTGTTCATGTAATCTGTTTTATGTGTTCTTCATTATCAATTTGCAGCATAAAAAATGTAAAATATCATTAACTCCTTTATATCAGATAGTATATCAAAATCAAATCACTATATATTGTCGTCAATTTTCTCTGTGTATCCTGTAATGAAAAAAATAATATCGCATATATAACAATAATTTGTTATATCTCAATACTGTTGTATTAAGATATTAATTCTTATTCTCAATTTGCTGAAACAAGTGACACGCAGTTACGACATTGGCTTTACCGACGCTCGGCAGAGCCGTCCAACGCGATATTTAGTTCGTCCTCGGAGACCCGCACTCTTGCACTATCGTCGCGTGATTTTTACAACTGTTACGCTATTCGCTCGCGGTACTGTGCAGTCGCGAAACGCGGTATTTGAGCGGCAGGCAACGCGAGAAGGACGGTCACTGTTTCATGAACGCGCTGGCTTTAGCCCGCGGCAGCAATCGCGTCTTGCTCTTCGAAACGCAACGAGGAACCTTTTCGACGGCCGTCGGGAAGCGACGGCAGTCTTGCCGATCTCTATCTACGGCGGCTGAACGTTCACCAGGCTGCGATCTGTTCATCAAAATCCTGTGCCGTACTCGCTCCCACAATCCTGAAGATCCTCGTCACAGGGCCTCGCTCGCTAGTCCGCTCTCTTTTTCGTGTCGCCGCGCTCAGTCTCTCACTCGCTCGCTTTCGCTCGTACCGCGGTCTCGCCTATCTCGCGTTATCCCACACAGTAAGGATTTTTCCGCGAGCGCGAAGCTTCCTCGGCTCGCGATCCTCGCCGCCGATAGCCGCTAGGTCCCATTGGTCATTTGAGAGCGCACGGCTTTAGCGCGGGCGCCTTACATGATCCGTGCGACACTGCCGAATTTTCTTGATTTTCGCCGACGGACTTCGGTACTTGACGGCATCCTGAACCTCCGCGATCGCGTAGGTGCCAGAAGTTCTCTTGGTTCCAGGGCGTTCCCCGGGATTTATTCCGCAAGGTCCAGCTTGTCCCTACGATTCGCATTAAGTTGTCTGAGGGTTCCTTCGCTTTATGTTAGCGAAGGGTGGATCTTGCCCCGTTTGGCTCGTCGCTAGCTCGTGGTCCGCCGTCGCTCATTTCTTGTACAGGTAACCTGTTGTACTCGAAAAAGAATGTAAGACGCGCGGTCTCGCACGCAAAAAGCGTGCAAGACCAATTCTACGCTGCCGCCCTTCCCACAAGAGAAGGGGACGCGAGCACAGCTCTCCTCGTCCTCCGTCATAATTTACAACTTAATTTTGTGATGGCAAAATCGCCACGTCATATTTTCTGACAGAAACTATTTGTAAATGTCACAGCGTTTGCTGATTTTACTAGAACATTTGAGATTAGTTGATTCCAATGTTACATCACTTTAAAAATTCTCACTGGCACTGGGACTCGAACTTGGATCATGAGACATCTTTGAATTACGAGTCTGTTGCATTAGATACTACACCACGTCTTCGATTGATATAAATATCTTATATTTTGTCTATATGTGTTGTTTTTAACACAGTGTAATATAATTTTTTAATAATACAATTTAATAAAATGATTTAATTTTAATAAAAGTTATATTTTTCGTATGTTTATTGTTAATTTAAACTCTAGCTCTCTCTAATGAGATAAGATTTATGGCCGGTATTCATAGTCCGATCTTATATTTAAGATCATTTTAAATACTGTCTTAAAATGTCATGAACTAATCACAGAGCCGTATTCGCATCTTAAGACGGCTTGAAATAAGATTCGACTATGAATACTGACCTATGAAATCCCGCATATACCATTTGGTTATACATTTTCCCGAAAACTAGATAGGGAAAATGTTAGTACTAATAAAAACCCCAGGAAAACATAATTGTAATTTCTGCGGATTAGTAACAATGACTAAGTTTACACAGCAGTTTAAAACCGGTTTAGTAACTACTGTAGTTAGTGAAATCTTGAATCTAACTCTTGGAATATATTTCTAGATCTAAAAGAATATACTAATCGGATGCGAAAGTTTATTAAATACGGTTGTTACTAAACCAGTTTTAAAATGCCGTGTAAACTTAGTCAAAAGTTGAAGTAATAAGTCCATGAGTTTTCGGAGACGTTTTGACATATGCGTGTATATGTGTCAAATAATAAATATTATATAAGTGACATTTAATTGAAAAGAGAAATAAAAATCACACAAATAAGTGCAAACAAAGTGCATAGAAATGCGTGAAAAAATTCATAATTTGCACATTAATTTTTAGACATGATCATTTACTAAATTTGACAAACATTTTAAACGTCGAAAAGTCGATAGAACGTTATAAAAAGAAAAACATTGAATGGATTCCACAAGATCTCGACAAATTATATACTTGCCTGCAAAAAGAAAATTGCAAGCAATTTCTTGTTATTGATAAAGTAGATTTATTTTCCGTTGAATTTGTGATTAAAAATAATGTAACTAAAGCAATTATTTTTATTGACAAAAATTTATCTGACTATATTATAAATAATATGAATGGAAAATTAACTATTTTTGTTGATAGAACGTTTGCAAATGTAACTAAAAAATAAAAATTATCAATTGTGGACAGTTGTCATTAGTGATAATAGAGTAACTAATAGAGTAAAATAATTAATTCATTAATTTATCCTTTAAGTAATGAGTTCCTTCAATCGCAATAGGCACTCTATATCCTATATAAATATAAAATTGAATATAATTGCTTTTAAATTTTTCAGACATTCCCAATTGTCTATGCCATCATGGAAGGACGCATTACGCAAAATTATATTGATGTACTAAGAAAAGTCACGAATGTTTTGAAAATAACACCTGACACCGCCATATGTGACTTTAAAAAAGCAGAAAGAAAAGCATTACACACAGTTTTTGCCACTACTAAAATCATTGGCTGTTTCTTCCATTAGCGTCATAGCGTTAATAAAAAATAACAATATACTTAAATAACATAAAATGAATGAAAATTATAATCATGTTAATTTCTCATTATAGGCATTAGTACATAATGCTGACAAACGTGGCTTATTAAAAGATGATCAAAAAGAATCAGGTTGCAGTGCTGTCAAATTATTAACATCTTTGCCTTTTTTACCATGCGCATTAATAGAAGAAGGCTTCCAATTAATATCAACAATTATTTTCAAGAATTGCACGTATTTGCAGTCATTTTTCAATTATTACAAAAAGATAAACGGTTTTAAACCCGATTCCTTCAGTGTTTTTCAACAAATATACAGAACAAACAATGCCTCTGAAACACACAATCGACAACATCGATCAAATCTAAAAAAAACACACGACAATTGTAGATTTTTTAGATATATTGTGAACACTTTATTTAGCATTTTTTCTATATTATTTCTATTCTTAAAATAAATTATTATTTACAGTTTACCTTCTTGAACACCAAAAATGTATTCGGAGTTTCGCGAGATATTTGAAATTTTGAATGCAAACTAGACGAAATACCCTGAAAGAAAAAGAAAATAATATATTACAAATTTGGAACGAAATAAAAAATAATCAAAATTTGAACCTTTTATTCTCTTTATATAAATTATCACAATTAGTGGGAAAATAAAAATTTATAAGTAAATTCATAAACATTTTAATACTTCCTATTCTTCTTTTAATTACTGTTTCCTAGACTTGTGATTCCTTAATTTCTCATAGCCCTTGTACATCTTCCATTTACAATATATATAATTTATTTTTACTCTTTATAATGTCAAATGTATATCTCTTGTAAATCGATCCTTGATTTGTGAACAAGCATTCCATTTTCATTCCTACATTCCATTCTTGCAATGGCCAATGTGGACAATACATTCTGTTTGCTGAAACATAAAAAACATACACCAGTGAGCAGACAAAGTGGCAATGAACGTCAAGCAGCTTTATCCAAAGCGTTGACAATAAATTGACAGTAAACACCACAATACCTTTGCTAGTGCAAACAATGTCAGTACATTGCTAGTACAAAAGGCACATGTGCTTTGTAGCACAATAGCTTTGACAAACCTGCTTTTGGTTTGTTGCATCAATCTGTCATTATACTGTTAATAATAGATTTGCTTGATGTTACGATGTGATTTCTACTTTTACTTACAATTTGGGTACACTTGAGAACAAGGGTAGGCTCAGAATTAGGCAGCCTCACTTTGTAAAGAATTGTTTTTTGGCTGTTAATATTCTGCGAGCAAATGATTGGCAGGGAAACTAGAACAAAAAAATTAATTCAAGAGAAGAATCGATCCAACATCAACAGTTACAAAGAACACATAAGATATATAATTTTTTATTTTATGAGATATATTAGCTACTTATCTGATATATATTTGTCTATTCTCCATTTACTTCTTTCCATCTTCCTTCTTTATGCTTCTCTTTTATTTTATACAGGTTTTGTTCCTCAGTTGACAATGATTCAAATGCGAAGAACAATGTTTCAGCCGTGAATGATGTTTATCAAGGCACGTCAAAAAACTGAAAAGCTAGTAGTGCTTAATTAAAATAATAATTTATGCTCTTATATATAAATATGTTATATAAACTATTTTTACATATATTATATTAACTTTTATCACCTTGTTCATTTATATGCACTTTGTTTTCACTTTTTTATTATGTTTTCACTTATTTGTGTGATTTTTATTTCTCTTTTCAATTAAATGTCACTTATATCCTTCCTTCCTTCCTTCCTTCAATATATGGCTACAGGCCTCTATAAGAGTAATGCCCCTACGCCAGTTTCCGACTAATGATATAATTTGAGAGTAAAGTCTTGGAAATTTCCAAGACACGATCCAAAAAAATCACAAGGTCCGAACATGTTCGAACACGTCTTATCGTGACGGCGGTTAGGCCGGAACCAAATGTCACTTATATAATATTATCTATTATTTGACACATACATACGCATATGTCAAAACGGGCGCATTCAGTAGAAAAAGCGCTCAGTGAGCAATCAACAATTATTGGTTCTTGCTATTAGATCCCTAAATCTAGACCAATTACATTGACAAATTACTCAACTGTTGTGCAACTGTTGAGTCTACTGAATGCAGCCAACGTCTTCGCAAACTCCTTCCTTCCTTCAATATTTGGCTACAGGCCTCTATAAGAGTAATGCCCCAACGCCAGTTTCCGATTAATGATATAATTCGAGAGCAAAGTCTTGGAAATTTTCAAGACACGATCCAAAAAAATCACAAAGTCCGAACTTGTTCGAACACGTCTTGTCGTGACGGCGGTTAGGCCGGGACTTAGTCTTCGCAAACTCATAGACTTATTACTTCAACAGTGGCTTGGTTTACATCGTGCACTTGATATGTGTACTATATAGTAACTTTCTATTAAATAATTTTAATATTGACAATGCATATCAACGATGACGCATTCAATCGATACAATAAGTTTTCTTTATCAGTATTATATCAGCTTAATATACCGTTATTTATATACATCGTCGATATTAAGATTATCTAATAGAAAGTTGCTATTTAATACGCGTATCAAGTGCACGATGTAAACCAAGCCAATGTTACTAACCCGCAGAATTTACAATTATGTTTGTAACAGCCGAACTCCGTCTGTCGGTTTAATGAATCGCCAAGAATTTCGCTCGTTGGAGTTCGGATTTAATAATAGTTTGACACAAGCAATTAACAAAAATAAATAACAAAAGTTTATTTAGATTTTTTGATATAGAACAGCAGTCGACAATTCGCGTATATCGGCGTAAAAGCCAAATCACACTAGCGATTGGCGATTGATGATTGACGATTGAAGATTGGAACTTGACCAATTGGAACAAAGCAAGCCAAGATCGAAGCGGGTGTATATCAATTGGACACGGGGCAATTGGACACAGTCCAATCACAAGTCGCTGTTCCAAGGGACCCTACAAATGTCTCTAATCATACGGTGCTGTGATTGGCTGTGTCCAAATGCACCGTGTCCAAGTGCACCGCTCCCGATCGAAAAGCTCGTTGATTCGTCAAAATCTAATCTTTAATCGTCAATCGTCAATTGCTAGTGTGATTTGGTCTTAAGACGGCGCCAGTAATCGCGATCTCGGTCGAACGAGTCTCGCGCTTCAGTAGGCGAAGCGTATACCGTGAACACGGTGTATCGCGAAAGATGGTGTCGATAAGTAGCGAAAGATTCGCGAATGCGCTGGAATTTCAATGGCCACGGGGGCCCGGTGGTAATGGCGGTACGATCGTGTCGTAGCACGCAGCGTTATATATCGGGCGACTCGCTTGTCGCTGACGCGATATATGCAAGTATCGACAACGTTCGATCGAGTGCAGCGAACACACTGGCACGTATACTTGCAAGTCGAGAAAGGATACGATCGGTACGGAGAATTCTCGACGGGGTTCGCGAACACACGAACTCGTTGCCCGGTCGTTGGAATCAGACAGGAAGGCGAAATCGGTGTCAAGAGCTTTCGACGAAAATAGCGAACACACAATCTCCTGGTGTCGGTTTTGCCTGTACGGGTGCGGAAATAGACGGGAAGGCAGAAACGATACGGTCGAAGTCGCTCTCCGCTCTCAAGCATCGAGTTCGGTGTACGGTCCGGATCGGTTTGGTCCCGTTTATTTCTCGGCCACGGTTTATACAGCTGATCCTTCCATCTGTCAATCGTTGACGTCGCGCATGCTGCTGTATTGTTTAGACGCGTGATGGGCGCGGTGCTTGTTTATGTTTAGATTATTGGCCTTGCGACCTTTGCGTAGCGCCGTTTGCAGTCCGATGGGTGTTATGTCGGGTTGTTAGTAAATGATGCGTGTGAAGCATCGTTACATGTTTCCCTGGGGTTTTTGTTAGTACCAACATTTTCCCTATCTAGATTTCGGGAAAATGTCGTGTAACTTTCCATTTTATGTTTAAATCTTTATAGTAAACATTTTTTATTGTTAAGTATTATTGAATAGACAAAGTTATAAAAGACTATAAACTTTGAATAAATATAAAAGAGTATAATTTAATTAAAAAAAAATCCTTACTATGTTTACTATTTGTGTATATATATATATATATATATATATATATATATATATATATATATATATA